GTGAAACCTTGTCTCTACTAAAAATACAAAAAAAAAATTCTTAGACAGGTGTGCTGGTGCGCTCCTGTAGTCACTGCTACTCCAGATACTGAGGCAGGAGAATCTCTTGAATCCAGGAGGCAGAGGTTGCAGTGAGCCAGGATTTGCACCTCTGCACTCCAGCCTGGGTGACAGGGCAAGAATCCATTAAAAAAAAAAAAAAAAAAAAAAAAAAAAATTTTTTTTGACCAGTCAGGGTGGCTCAGTGCTTGTAATCCCAGCACTTTGGGAGGCCGAGGTGGGTGGATCACAGGGTCAGGAGTTGGAGACCAGCCTGGCCAATATGGTGAAACCCCGTCTCTACTAAAAATACAAAAATTAGCCGGGTGTGGTGATGTGCGCCTGTAGTCCCAGCTACTCGGGAGGCTGAGGCAGAAGAATTGCTTGAACCCAGGAGATGGAGGTTGCAGTGAGCTGAGATTATGCCACTGCACTCCAGCCTGGGTGACAGAACGAGACTGCCCTCCCTGTCAAAAAAATTGAAAACATATCATTTGAACAATATAGAAATAACTGACAAGGTCAGGAAGGAACCTAACCCCGCTGCCCGCTGACACATGAAGCCGTAGTGGCAGGCCTCCAGCTGTACAGCTACCTTAATTATTCTTCGCCTGTGTCTAGATAAGCACTTTTGCTGTTCATTTCTCACAATGTTATTAGAATTTACTTAAGATAAAGGGATAGTCCTCTAAAAGTAACAGTGAAAAACAACAGCAGCCAAGTAACTTTCCAGTAGTGGCCCATGAATGCAATGTCACAATGTATATGCTAGTAGAAGTATATTTTCCCTATTAGATCCTCAGGTAATTAACTTACAGATTGTTATTATTAAATATAGTTTTCATACTGATTCTACCAAAGCTGGTAACCAATATTTACATTATTGAAACACCTAGAAGTACAAGCTACCAGAAGGTACAAGCACTTGTTTTCTCTCCGGCTTCTCCCCACTGAAAAGCACTTAGCCAGGTGCAGTGGCTCACGCCTGTAATCCCAAAACTTTGGGAGGCCGAGGCAGAGGGATCACCTGAGGTCAGGAGTTCAAGACCAGCCTGGCCAACATGGTGAAACCCTGTCTCTACTAAAAATACCATGGTGTGTGCCTGTAAGCCCAGCTACCCAGGAGGCTGAGGCAGGAGAATTGCTTGAACCCCGGAGGCAGAGGTTGCAGTGAGCTAAGATCACACCACTGTACTCCAGCCTGGGCAACAAAGTGAGACTCCATCTGAATAAGATAAAAGAAAATAAAAGCACTTGTCTTCAATGACAAGTTAGGAGTCACTTTTAAACATCCATGACAAAGAACCAGGTATTTCACATTTAAGAAAGTTCAGGCCAGGCACATTGGCTCCTACCTGTAATCTCAGCACTTTGGGATGCCTAGGTGGGTGAATCGCTTGAACTCGAGTTGAAGACCAGCCTAAGCAACATGGCAAAACCCCATCTCTATAAAAAAAAAAATAACAAAAATTAGCCAGGCATGATGGCGTGGGCCTATAATCCCAGCTACACAGGAGACTGAGGTAGGAGGATTGCTTGAGCTTGGGAGGTTAAGGCTCAGTGAGCTGTGATCATGCCACTGCACTCTAGCCGGGGCAACAGAGCGAGATCCTGTCTCAAAAAAAAAAAAAAGTTTGATCCCAGTAAGTGACCTGAAAGTAATTACTACTACATGAAAGATAATTCTGTATGCTCAAGTAAACAAGTTTCTGAATGAGACACCAATACTCTCCACAAAAGACATATTTCCTTTTTATTTTTTTTTTAGTAGAGATGGTGGTCTCACTGTATTTACCAGGTTGGTCTCAAACTCCTGGCCTCAAGGGATCCTCCTGTCTCAGCCTCCCAAAGTGCTGGGATTGCAGGCATGAGCCACCATGCCTTTTTTATTTCAATGGAGGGTATATAAGGTTAAGTGGAAAATTCCATTGAAATTGAAACCCTTAACAAATTATCAAGATATTAAATCACAGAAAAGCAGCTTATGTTAAATACAAAAGACAATGGGAAATATTATGGACAAAAAAAAAAATAAGCTTATTGGACAGGGAGACCAGAGAACAGATAATCACACTATTCTTAACTCTGATGCTGCCAAGTGAGCATATAAGGGAATCACAATTTCTCTTTAGTTTCTCTTGACATTATTTGACAGAATACTTTCTAATCTGGGGATATAATCAACTGTTCTGTACAACAGGGGCAGTCACAGAGAACTCTTATTCATTGACCAACACGAGGTTTAACATTTGAGTGAACAGTAAGCATTCAATTTTAATAGCATAAACTATTTCGTAAGAGTGCTTCAGTAAGCAAGGACAGTGATAGTGATTTTGTATTTGCATAAAACAGGGAAAGGCTAGGAGTTACCTCTCAATACTTTTCCCCAGAACATTTAACCACTTCTATTTGGAAAAAAAAAAAAAAAGGAACTTAAAAAAATACTACAACGACTGAAGACAAAATAATTCTGGGGGGTAAACAAGTATCAAGTTGCTAAGTTAACACTTTATTTAAAAAATATATAAATTTGGGTTTGGGGCATGGCAAAAATAAATTTAAAAAAAAAATTAAGGCTAGACACGGTGGCTCATGCCTATAATCCCAGCACTTTGGGAGGCTGAGGCAGGCGGATCACAAGGTTAGGAGTTCAAGACCAGCCTGACCACCATGGTGAAACCTCCGTCTGTAAAAAAAAAACAGAAAAATATAAAAATTAGCTAGGTGTGGTGGCTCATGCCTGTAGTACCAGCTACTTTCAGGGCTGAGGTGGGAGAATCACTTGAACCCATGAGGTGAAGGTTGCAGTGAGCCAAGATTCTGCCACTGCACTCCATCCTGGGTGACAGAGTGAGATCATCTCAAGAAGAGCTGCCTTACATCACAAGTAAGATTATATGGATACTCTAGTCCTTTTTTACAGTCCATGAAAACACCTTTGCATAACTGGGTTAAATGCTTTGGCAACTTAATGATTTAACTACAACCCTAACACTGAATTTATTCATTTATGGTTGGGTTTTTTTTTGTTTGTTTTTGAGACAGTCTTGTTGTGTCGCCAGGTACCAGGCTGGAGTGCAGAAGCATGATCTCAACTCACTGCAACCTCCGCCTCCCAGGTTCAAGCAAATCTCCTGCCTCAGCCTCTGGAGTAGCTGAGACTATAGGCGCGCACCACCACGCCCAGCTAATTTTTGTATTTTTTTTTAGTAGAGATGGGGTTTCACCATGTTGGCCAGGATGGTCTCAATGCCTTGACCTCGTGATCTGCCCACCTCGGCCTCCAAAGTGCTGGGATTACAGGCGTGAGCCACTGCGCCCAGCCTCATTTATCTTTTATATTTCCTAGTTGATACCCTATAAGACTACACACACATACTATAGCTCAGTTTTATCATAACAAGAAATGACACCTCTCTTCTTTGGAAGGAAGAAGGGAGATTTCATCCAGTTGGCTAGGAAAACTGCATTTCTAACAAGCAACACAAACTACTTCAAACATACACTTTGCCCTAATAATCAACTATTCTAATTTCCTTTTGGTTAATCCAGTATTTCCTTTTTTTGGTGGTGGGCGGGGAGGGAACAGAGTCTTGCTGTCACCCAGGCTTCAGTGCAGTAGCACGATCTCAGCTCACTGCAACCTCTGCCTCCCAGGTTCAAGTGATTCTCTTCCCTTGGCCTCTCAAGTACCTAGGACCACAAGCATGCAGCGCCATGCTGAATTTTCATTTTTTGTAGATTTTAGGTTTCACTATGTTGCCCAGGCTGGTCTTGAACTCCTAAGCTCAGGCAATCTGCCCACCTTGGCCTCCCAAAGTACTAGGATTATAGGTGTGAGCCACTGTGCCTGGCCATTATTTATTATTATTTATTTGGCAATTCAAAAATATGTTTACAAGTATGCATTTGATTTTGGAAGTAATTTTCAATCCATAAATTTAGCTGAAGCTTTACAAGCCATTAAGAATGCGACATTAGAATACAGACAGAAACTAAGTTACTCAGTTATCAAGTTGAGCCCTTAACAACTTAATAGATGTAGTTGATGAGGTATACCTTTATGAGTTAAATGCAACTTTCTGTTGAAGTTCTAAAATTTATCATGTTAAAAAGAAAAGTGTGGTCTGGCATGGTGGCTCATGCCTGTAATCCTAGCACTTTGGGAGGCCAAGGTGGATGAATCACCCGAGGTCAAGAGTTTGGGACCAGCCTGGCTAACATGGTGAAACCCTGTCTCTACTAAAAATACAAAAATTAGCTGGGCGTGGTGGCACACGCCTGTAATCCCAGCTACTCGGGAGGCTGAGGCAGGAGAATCAACTGAACACAGGGTGGAGGTTGCAGTGAGCCATGATCGCATCACTTTACTCCAGCCTGAGCGAAAGAGCAAAACTCCCATTTAAAAAAAGAAAAAAGTGCCTGTGAAACTTTTTTGTAGAAGAGTAACATCACTTAAGTCTCTATGTTAGCCATACAAGCAGCACTTGAATTTTTCTTAATTAATCTTAACTACGTGCATACGTGCTTTTTGGGCAGTTCATTTTATTATATAACCTTTTACTCTCCCCGCCCTACTCCACACGCCATGCCTCTCCCCCATTGTTTGTTTGTTTCTTTTTAAGTAGAGACAGGGTCTCACTGCGTTGCCAAGGCTGATCTCGAACTCCTGGTCTCAAGTGCTCCTTCTGCCTCGGCCTCCCAAAGTGCTAAGATAACAGGCGTGAGCCACTGTGCCAGACCTGCTTTTCACTCTTGATCTGACTTTAGAAAACTTAAATTTTTAATAGTGCTCCCCATGTTGTTATACACATGAGAACCCAGATCTCCACTTTATACAATTAGTAACTACCAGTGGGATCTGTATTAATGTTCACAGTACACAAAATATGCAAGCAAAGTTTGCTATATGAGAAAATACATTTCAAATACCTTCAAGACTCAAGAAGAACACACAATTAACGTATTTTATCATTTTATTAGGAATAATTCCAAATGGGTTATGAAGAAAATGTATTCATTGAATTTGACGAGTCTTCCAAAAACTCTTAATGAAGATATGCCTGCCCAATAATAAAACATCAGCAGAACTATCATATACTGAGCAAAAAATCAGGCTGATAACAAAAGCAACATGCAACATAAAAAAGACATGATATAAAGGAAGACAATCTGCTGAATATTAAAAACCATCTAAATGTCAATTATTTGCAACCAGCACGGAACTAATTAGCTATCAAATCCAAACTACACCAAAGTAAGTTTGGCTGATGTAGGCCAGGAGTCAATGCAGGGGGAAAAAATTTCCTCAGTGCAAGAGAGCTGAATAGTGTTTTGGATCTTTCCCTGGATGGTACAGGCAGTATTAGAAAATCTTTTTTGGCAAGGGAGAGAAATAAATACAAATGGAATGCTACATTTTTAAATTAGCAGACTGTCTCAGGAATGATAAAGGTGTCAGTAAAGTAGCAAGGGGATAACTTAAAAATATTATTTGTCTGGGGCTCAAAAAACACTCAAAACAGATTTATTTAAGGGTTTCACAATAGCTATGTCCAGGCATTTAGGCTTATGGGAAGTAAAATTGAAAGAGGATACTTTTTCCCCAAGGAGAATTTTTTTAAAACCAGTAACATTGCTAAATAGCAACATTATACTTGGTAAACAATAATTGGCAACAAAATAAGTTCTGCCCAAACCAGTCCCAGATACTGTTTAATAACCAAGATACAAACTAATTTGTTGTAACAAGCCTAGACCAATTTTATCAAACATGTCCTTGGTTAGTTATCCAGTTTCATTTAACGTTTTGAAAGCTCATTTGACAGCCAGTCAAGTCCTTCATACAGACCAGTTCCTTGTGTTGCACAAGTGGCTTGAACATACCACTGTAAAGAAAAGACAAGAAAAAACTTGATTAACACAGTTAATATATAACCAGTGTTTCAACTTTCTTAATCAAAATTAGGAGTCTTCTCAACCTCCTGCTTCTCACAAAATTCTCCCATATTTAAAGTTACTTCTGGCTGGGCATGGCGGCTCACACCTATAAATCTCAGCACTTTGGGAGGTGGAGATGGATCACTTGAGTTCGAGATCAGCCTGGGCAACATAGTGAGACTGTCTCTACTTTTTTAGATTAAATTATTTTTTAAACATAAAGCTACTTCTACCTATTCTGGAGATTACAGTGAGCCAAGGTCATGCCACTGCACTCCAGCCTGGGCGAGAGAGTGTGACTCCATCTCAAAAATAAAATAAAATAAAACAAAATAAAATAAAAAAAAATAAAACAAAACAAAATAAAATAAGTAAGTTACTTCTACCTATTTATTATATTTAAACAACATTCCCCGCCCCCTCAATCATTCGGCTTTTTTTCAGTGCTGGTTTTTAGTTCCTTTTTAGTAAACGTTCTACCACTTAATCTGAAAAGAGAAATCATGGGGAAATTAGTAACTAATAAACTACCCCAAAGTAGAAGAGGTAAATTTTTGAAAGAGCAGAGTTTGTTGATATTTTAGGGGCAAGCTTTTCAGATAATTCTACTATCTTTAGTCTCATGCATTCTAAAATGTTCTTGGTTTTTTTTTTTGTTTTTTTTTTTTTTGGAGACTGAGTCTCACTCTGTTGCCCAGGCAGGAGTGCAGTGGCACAGTCTTGGGTCACCACAACCTCTGCCTCCAGATTCAAGCTATTATCCTGCCTCAGCCTCCTGAGTAGCTGGGACTACAGGCATGCGCCACCATGCCTGGCTAATTTTTGTATTTTTAATAGAGACAGGGTTTCACTATGGTGGCCAGGCTGGGCTTAAATTCCTGACCTCATGATCTGCCTGCCTCCCAAAGTGTTGGGATTACAGGCGTGAGCCATTGTTTTTACCATCTAAAAAACAGTGGCCAGCCCATTCTTGTTTTTTAGATGGTAATGAATCTTATCTCCAGTAACTATGTAAAAATATCAAGAAAATAAAACCTAGAAAGCAATTTACATTTAAGGCATAGTTTAGTTTTATTAATTTTTTGGACCAGTTTAATGTTTCGAGGCCACTGCAAGTATACCATATTGCCGATTATTTGAATAACAAATCTCAGTAACCTAGGAGGCTAGGAAAAGGCTCAAATTCATAGCTTCACAGTATGGAAAACTTGTATCATTTACAGTTAATGTTGTTTATTTATTTATTGTTTTGAGACAGAGAACTCACTCTGTTGCCCAGGCTGGAGTGGTGTGATTTCAGCTCACTGCAACCCCCGCCTGGCAGGCTCAAGAGATTCTCATGTCTTCAGCCTCTCAAGTAGCTGGGGATTACATAGGCATGCACCACCACACCCAGCTAATTTCTGTATTTTGAGTAGAGACAGGGTTTCACCACGCTGGCCAGGCTAGGCTTGAACTCCTGGTCTCAAGTGATCCACCTGCCTTCGCCTCCCAAAGTGCTGGGATTACAGGTGTGAGCCACCATACCCAGCCCAGTTTAAGTTGTTTAAATCAGCCTGAGATGTCTCAGACAATAGGTTCTCTGTGTTTCATTTTTTACCACAGCCACAGTATTTGCCTTGTTTACAAGTTAATGCAAAATTACTATAAAAAGTACATGACACTAAGTTTATGATAATTTATCTCAATCACTGATCTCAAATGATAAGCGATTTTAGAGAAGTACAATTTTTTTCGTTTAAAGAAACAGTCTTTTTCTGTCACCCAGGCTGAAGGGCAATGGGTACAATGACAGATCACTGCAGCGTTCAACTTCGGGGTTCAAACAGTCCTCCCACCTCCGCCTCCCAAGTATCTGGGACTAAAGGAGCATGCCACCACACCCAGCTAGTTTTTATTTTTGTAGAGATGGGGTTTCACTTTGTTGCCCGGGCTGGTTTCGAACTCCTGGCATCAAGCAATCATCCTGCCTTGGCTTTCCAAAGTGTTGGGATTACAGGAGAACCATGGTACCTGGTCCCCTCCATAAGCTGATAACAAGCAAACAACGTTGGGCACCATAGCTGGAGTCCCAGCGCTTTGGCAGCCTGAGATAGTGGGAGGATTGCTTGAGTCCAGGACCTCAAGACCAGCCTGGCAACAAAGCAACACCCCCATCTCCACTTTTTTTTTTTTGAGACGGAGTTTTGCTCTCTCTTGTTACCCAGGCTGGAGTGCAATGGCGTAATCTCGGCTCACCGCAACCTTCGCCTCCTGGGTTCAGGCAATTCTCCTGCCTCAGCCTCCTGAGTAGCTGGGATTACAGGCATGAGCCACCATGCTCAGCTAATTTTTTGTATTTTTAGTAGAGACGGGGTTTCACCATGTTGACCAGGATGGTCTTGATCTCTTGACCTTGTGATCCACCCGCCTCGGCCTCCCAAAGTGCTGGGATTACAGGCTTGAGCCACCACGCCTGGCCCATCTCCACTTTTAAAACAAGCAAACAAACAGTACTAAACAATATTAGCTAAATTTCAGTTGCTAAAAATACTGGACCCTTAATAAGAAAGCCAAATTACAAAATGTTTGCTGTAGGGTTAAAAGATACAAAATTAAAATTAAGACTATCAATAATCTCCTTTCCATTCTTTCCACTTCCCCCTTCAAAAAAAAAGATTAAAAAAAGACTATCAATAATCTTTAGACCAATTCCACAATAGTTTTCTATATCTTTACAAAAAAATCAAAGATATTTAAAGCTTATTACCATATTTTTAAATAAATGATGTGTTCATTATTTGTCAAAAGGAGATAATAAATAAATGTTTAAACTGCATAGTACTTTACACAATTATCCTTTTTATCTTTGAGACTGAGTCTCACTCATGTTGCCCAGGCAGGAATGCAATGGCATGATCTCAGCTCACCGCAACCTCCACCTTCTGGGTTCAAGTGATTCTCCTGCCTCAGCCTCCCAAGTAGCTAGGATTACAGGCATGTGCCACCACATCTAGCTAATTCTGTATTTTTAGGAGAGCAGGGTTTCTCCATGTTGGTCAGGCTGGTCTCGAACTCCTGACCTCAGGTGGCCTGCCTGTCTCAGCCTCCCAAAGTGCTGGGATTACAGGTATGAGCCACCGTGCCCGGCCTAGTAACTCTTAATAGTCAAGAGGTTAATATTAAGCCTGTAATCCCAGCACTTTGGGAGGCCGAGGCGGGTGGATCACGAGGTCAAGAGATCAAGACCATCCTGGTCAACATGGTGAAACCCCGTCTCTACTAAAAATACAAAAAATTAGCTGGGCATGGTGGCGCATGCCTGTAATCCCAGCTACTCAGGAGGCTGAGGCAGGAGAATTGCCTGAACCCAGGGGGCAGAGGTTGCGGTGAGCCGAGATCGCGCCATTGCACTCCAGCCTGGGTAACAAGACCGAAACTCCGTCTCAAAAAAAAAAAAAAAGAGGTTAGTATTAACCTCCACATACTTACTGTTCTGTTACGAAGAGACTGAAGACCTAGTTTATCTGTCATTTCGCTGATGGCCATAGCATTTGGCAAATCCTGTTTGTTTGCAAAAAGCAGCAGCACTGCATCTCTCAACTCATCTACCAGAAGCTGGAAATAAAAAGATAAGGCATTAAAAACTACCAACCAGAATCCAATTTCTGAAAACAAACTGTCTTCCTATATATACTTTACTCAGCATTATATACATTATTAAACATTAACCAAATTTCTCTACATAAAGTTCAGATACTCATAACTCACACCACTCAGTTTTTAAATCCAGAGCAAACAATCATATGCCTTCAAGTAAGACAGATTGTTTTTCCAGTCAATCATCCTAAACCCCATTAAAGCAAATCACTCATCATTCAGCCTTCATGATTACCAATTGTCAGAACTGATAAGGGCAAGAAACACATATGGGAATAAAATGTTTATGACAGGATCTTATGGTACTTAATAGCAGAAGTACTTTTCAGACTTCTTTCCTGCCAGCTGGACCAAGAGTGGGACAACATCACAATTATTTGGGCGTTGGCAGTATCATGAAAAATACAAAAACGGAACCAAGAATAGAACCTGTACTGACGCATGATACAATACAGATGAACCCTGAAAAATTATGCTAAGTGAAAACAGTCACAAAAGAACACTTTGTATGTTTTCATTTATGTGAATGTCCAGAATAGGTGACTGTATAGAGACCAACTAATTAGTGGCTGTCAGAGGCTGGGAGTGTAGCGCAGGAGAGGATGGAAATGGGGAGTGACTGCTAATGGTTCCGAGATTTCTTTTCGGGGTGATGAAAATTTTCTAGTAGTAGATTGTGGTGACAGTTGGACAACTGTGTATACTAAAAGCCACTGATTTGCAATTTTAAAGGTTGTTATTTATAGCATGTCAACAAGTATGTCTCAATGAAGTGCTTTTTTTTTTAAAAAAAAAAGGGGAAAGCTGGTGACATTTGACTCAGGCAAAAATCCAACAATGATTTAGTCACACATATACTGGCACAATGGTTTTACAAACTGCACTGTAGTCTTAGGAGTAATGAATGAGAATTAAGATTTCATTTCAGGCCAGGCATGGTGGCTCACACCTATAATCCCAACACATTGGGAGGACAAGGCAGGCAGATCACGAGGTCAGGAGTTTAAGAACAGCCTGGTCAGCCCGTCTCTACTAAAAAAATACAACAAATTAGCCGGGCATGGTGCCTGTAATCTCAACTACTTGGGAGGCTGATGCAGGAGAATTGCTTGAACCCTGGAGGCAGAGGTTACAGTGAGCCAAGAACATGCCACTGCACCTCCAGCCTGGGCAACAGAGCAAGACTCTGCCTCAGAGAAGAAAAAAAAAAAAAATTCAAGTTTAAAATCATGACAAGGATTCTCCTAAGTTTTCCTCTGTTCAGAATAACAACATGAATACTTGAAAACATTAATCACATTAATTCAATATGTGGCAAGGCTGCAAAATGCCACTGTGAACCAAACTGTCTCTACTTTCAGAAGGAATTCCTTATCTTTTAATGGTTACTATAAAAAACATTTCTAAAGTAATTATTGGCACAACATAGAGAAAATGGAACCAATGACCCTGGGAACAAAACATCTGAACCAAGATTCTTAGGGTCAAAACTGCTTCAGCAGGCCGGGCACGGTGGCTCAAGCTTGTAATCCCAGCACTTCAGGAGGCCTAGGCGGGTGGATCACGAGGTCGAGAGATCGAGACCATCCTGGTCAACATAGTGAAACCCTATCTCTACTAAAAATACAAAAAATTAACTGGGCATGGTGGCACGTGCCTGTAATCCCAGCTACTCAGGAGGTTGAGGCAGGAGAATTGCCTGAACCCAGGAGGCGGAGGTTGCGGTGAGCCGAGATCGTGCCATTGCACTCCAGCCTGGGTAACAAGAGCGAAACTCCGTCTCAAAAAAAACAAAACAAAACAAAAAAAAAAAAAAAACCACTGCTTCAGCAATACAGATTTGATATCTGTAAAATAAGGCACTTAGCTAAATCTGATATCCTCAGCCAGACACAGGCATCAAGATTACCCATGAGGCATTCTAAAAATAGCTGCTGTGCCTTCCTCCCAACTTACTGAAGTAACTACTCTTCCATGTGTTTTTTAAAAAGCTCTATAAGCGATTTTGAAGTACATTATTAAGAATCTGTGGATAACATAGTTTCTTAAGTTTATTTCTAGCCCCTTCAAAAATCATTTTTATAATCTCATCATAGCTAAAATGTACTAACACACCACCAGTTTCACCCAGAAAAACACACCTTGAAAATGATGAATTTAAAGTATATTCTTACCATTTTCTGCAGCTCATCTGCTACTTCCTGAATTCTTTCACGATCATTGCTATCTACCACAAAAATAAGACCCTGGGGAAAGATTGTTTCAGTAAATTTTAAGAGTTAAACAACACTCTCTATAAGAAACATAAGTGTAGGCAGAAAAATGTTATCAGTGGTTAGATATTAGAAAGAAAATGTCTCATTAAGGCTGTAACGCTGAAAGCTGATTTGAGAACTATTTGTAATTTTAATTTATCAGTGCTATTTCAAATCTAAAAAAATCTTATTCTTCACCAATGAACTACTTTTCTCAACTACCCTAGGAATAAACTGTATCCATTTTCCCCTCTCCCCTCTGTACTCTCACATATAAGTACAGGTACCAAAATAGCCACATAGTAGGAACAGAAAGAAAAACAACAAATCAAGGAGCCTAAAGAATCGTGAATTTGGCCAGGTATGGTGGCTCATGCCTGTAATCCCAACACTTTGGGAGGCCGAGGCAGTCAAGCAATCAGGCCTGAGATCACTTGAGTTCAGGAGTTTGAGACCAACCTGGGCAACATGGCAAAAGCCTGTCTCTACAAAAAATAAATGCAGAAATTATCTGGGTGTGGTGGTACATGCCTGTAATCCCAGCTACTTGGGAGACTGAGGTGGGAGGATCCATTGATCCCAAGAGCCACTGCGTCCGGCCCCAAAATGTTGCAGTTTCAGGCATAAACCACAGCACCCAGTCCTGGAATGTACCCTTTACAAGAGGTAATGCCCCTAAAAGGGATCTAATTTTATCTTGATTACTAACCTTTCATTTTTATTGTTTTTGTTTTTTTGTTTTTTTGTTTTTTTTTTTAATGTAAAGACAGGGTCCCCAGGCTGGTCTCAAACTCCTGAGCTCAAGCAATCCTCCCACCTCAGCTTCCCAAAGTGATGAGAATACAGGCATAAGCCACTGCACCCAGCCTCTATTCTGTTTTAAAACATAAATAATACTATCAGTCCCAAAGTAACATTACTGAGAAGGAGAATTATTCCAGGAATTAATCCCTAATTATTTTCTTCTTGGAACAGCCTAGAATCAAGAGTGAAGAAAAGTTAGGATTCTACAGATAAGCCCAGCTGCTGTATGATTATTTTAACAGCCAAATATTTGCTTAATTATTTAGAATGGCAAATTAATTGGAATTATCTAATAGGAATTTATTAAACACTGTGCCATGGTTTATTAGTGTAAGTTAGAAACATGGTTAAAGTTATAATTAGTTTATTTTAAATTTTATAGCTAGAAGAACTGATCAGGAATGCTCGGAACACAAGCTAAGAACTTAGCTTTGATTGTATCAAGTAACACATAAAGCTTTCCCCAGCTAGCATGAACTCCCTAGGAAATAGCACTTGGACTTTTCTTTCTTTTTTTTTTTGACACGGAGTTTCGCTCTTGTTACCCAGGCTGGAGTGCAATGGTGCAATCTCAGCTCACCGCAACCTCCGCCTCCTGGGCTCAGGCAATTCTCCTGCCTCAGCCTCCTGAGTAGCTGGGATTACAGGCACGCGCCACCATGCCCAGCTAATTTTTTGTATTTTTAGTAGAGACAGGGTTTCACTATGTTGACCAGGATGGTCTCGATCTCTTGACCTCGTGATCCACCCACCTCGGCCTCCCGAAGGGCTAGGATTATAGGCTTGAGCCACCGCGCCCGGCGGACTTCTATTTCTAAGGTGGTCCAAAGAGGCCAGAATTGGGTCTAATCTCAAATTAAGAATGCAAAGTAAATTAAAGCATTCTAAACAAATCTAGGGATAAAGCCAGGGTTAACCTGGGTCAAGAACTATTAGGATTAAGGATTAGCAAGGTTTTACTTCGTATCTAACTCTTTCAAAATATATTGGTCAGGTGCGGAGGCTCATACTTGTAATCCTAGCACTCTGAGAGGCCTAGGCAGGGGGATCACATGAGGTCAGGAGACTGAGACCAGCCTGGCCAATATGGTGAAACCCCATCTCTACTAAAAATATAAAATTAGCCAGGTGTGGTGGCAACATGCCTGTAGTCCCAGCTACTTGGGAGGCTGAGGCAGGAGAATTGCTTAAACCCAGGAGGCAGAGGCTGCAGTGTGCCAAGATCACATCACTGCACTCCAGCCTGGGCAACAGAGTGAGACTCCATCTCAGAAAAAAAACAAAGACTAGAGGGTAGAGCACATTAGAGATGACTATATATGTATACAGAGTTTCCTTAATCCAAAACCCCAAAATCCAAAACTTTCTGAACACCAGCATAAAAATTCATTGGAGTATATCGGATTTTGGATTTCTGGCTTTAGGATGCTCAACTGGTAAAATGCAAATATTCCAAAACCCCCGAAATTCTGAGATCAGAAACAGTGGTTTCCCAAGAATTTTGTATTTAACATTTTCCATGATAAAGCTTTTTTTAAAGTATGTGCCTCTGTATTAAGTATCTTTTCTAGTCACAGCTATATTGATGACCATAAACATTCTCATTTTTAAATTAAAAAGCATACCACTATTTAACATGACATACTATGTAAACCTGGTTTTCCCAGCCACTCACCTAGGGTATTCACTGCCACCTGGTGGCAATATACCCCACTTGTATGCAATGTTTTAAGAGTTGGGTAACAAGATGACATTGCAAGTCTTAAACATAAAAAGTGTTAGTGATACCACATTTAAAAAAAACTTACCAACTTAAGTAGTAAACAAAAACTGACAAGAAATTCCTTAGGTGACAGAAAAAATAACAGAGTTGGGACCAAGTTAAACAAAGGTAGAGTAAGAACAAACTCTCCCGTCTTGGGTAAGTCATTCTAAGTTTCAGTTTCCTCAAATATAAGAGAGTTAGTTAGATTAAGAACAGTGGTTCTCAGCAGGGAGCAATTTTGCTCCCAGAGGATAATTGGGTAAGTCATTCTAAGTTTCAGTTTCCTCAAATATAAGAGAGTTAGTTAGATTAAGAACAGTGGTTCTCAGCAGGGAACAATTTTGCTCCCAGGGGATATTTTGCAGGTGTGGAGAGATTTTTGGCTGCCAGATGGGGGGAGCTGCTATTGGCATCTAGTGGGTATGGGACAAGGATGCTACTACACATCCTACAATGCATAGAGAGCCCTCCCCATACCCAACAACAAAGAATAACCCAGCCCAAAATGTAAGTAGCGCTGTGTTGTAAGATACCAGACCAGTAGTATCAGCACGACCCAAGAAGTGCTAGAAATACAGAATTGCAGGCCTTACGTAGGACCTATGGAATCAATGTGTATTTTTAATAAATACCCAGGTTATTCATATGCATATTAAAGTTTAAGAAACACTACTATACTATACCTGGACTATATACCCTGAGATTCTGATTCAAATGGTCTAGGGGATGATCCAGGTCTTGGGATTTTTAAAGCTCCCCATGTGATTCTTAAGTGCCACCAAATTTGAGAACTCCTGTTCTACAGGAACACTAAGGTCTCTTCCATGCCAGTATTATATATAAATACTACATGGCAATATAAAAAATATCTTACGAATCAATGCAGCGAACTGACCATAATGTATTTAATAAAGTAAACACCTAACTGGGCTAAACAAAGGACTATCAATTGTCTTAATCAGAAACTACAATGATAGTTTAAACAGACCTTACTTGATAAACTAAGATGGAAACGAAAGAACTATGGATAAGAGACCCAATTTATACTTGAGAAGTACAGCATCATCCATCCCATCTTCCAAACATTTACTGTAACTGTTATACAACTCTTCCACTCTGCATAAGTTAGCCTTCCAAGGCATAAGCGAGAGTCCACTGAAGAATGTGGAAGTGGAGATAAGATAAATGCCAACTCATAGTAAACACCAACATCCAAGTAAATACTAGACACTGATATAAACTTTAGAGCATGAAACCCACAAAGAAAAGTTATAAAAACATATAGTATCCCTTACCTGGGTATTCTGGAAGTAATGCTTCCAGAGAGGCCTAATTCTATCTTGACCACCAACATCCCATACTGTGAAACAAATGTTCTTATATTCTACTGTTTCCACGTTAAAACCTACAAAGAAAAACAAAAATGACCGCTGTGCAGCGTCATTAAGAAAATAAAACCTTTTATTGTGGAATTTTTTTAGAATAGTGTTTTAAAAGCAATTATTTATTTTTATATATATATAAAAATAATTTAAACCTAAACATCAGAGACAAGGTCTCGCTATGTTACGCAGGCTGGTCTTGAACTCCTTGGCTCAAGTGATCACCCTCCTTGGCCTCCCAAAGTGCTGGGATTACAGGCATGACCACCACACCTGGACTGGTTTTTCTGAGACAAGAGTTTCACTCTTGTTGCCTAGGCTGGAGAGCAATGGCTCGATCTCAGCTCACTGCAACCTCAGCCTCCCAGATTCAAGCAATTCTCCTGCCTCAGCCTCCCGAGTAGCTGGGATTACAGGCATGCACCACCATGCCCGGCTAAATTTTTTTTTTTTTCTTTTAAGTAGAGAAGGGGCTTCTCCATGTTGGTCAGGCTGGTCTTGAATTCCCGACCTCAGGGGATATGCCCGCCCAGCCTGTTTTAAAAGTACTTCTAAGATAATCAACAAGCTTAACAAAAAGACAGTGTCAAAACTAGACTGTATTATATTCCACTTTACAACATATCATGATATAAAGTCATCTGTAAACTTTCTTACCAATGGTAGGAATGGTGGTGACTATCTCCCCTAACTTCAGTTTATACAGAATGGTTGTCTTGCCAGCAGCATCCAATCCAACTAGAAGAAGACATTATAGATTTAAAATCCAGACCAAAAGCATACTCCCAACAAATAATTTTACAGTAAATATATAGTTCAAAAGTAGAAGTTAACTTTAAGACACAAATGAGTTAGAAATGAAATAATCTTATTTCTGATTCCCAAGGGCAACACTTCCTACAACAAGCCTCTCCATTCTTCTTTCTAGACCAAGAGAGACAGCACGTACTAATAAAAGGAAAAGAGTATACAGCTGGCTTAGGCTCTAATCTCTAGCTTTGCAACAAACTAGTTGAGTGACTTTTAGGACACCAAGGCCAAAGAAATGAGCCATAAAATAAAGGGACTGGATCAAATCATCTAAGATCTCTTCCAATCCAAGTCCTTATTAATCCTATGAACTACCACCATTTTTGGGGAGTTGCAGGAGGGATGAACTCTTGCTCTGTCACCCAGGCTGGACTGCAGTGGCGTGATCTTCACTCACTGCAATCTCTGCCTCCTGGGTTTCAAGCAATTCTCCTGCCTCGGCCTCATGAGTAGCTGGGACTACAGGCGCCCACCACCATGCCCAGCTAATTTTTGTATTTTTAGTAGAAATGAGGTTTCACCATGTTGGTCGGGATGATCTCAAACTCCTGGCGTCAAATGATCTACCTGCCTGGGCCTCCCAAAGTGCCGGGATTACAGGTGTGAGCCACCATGCCCAGCTGTACTACCACCATTTTTTAAAACAAATTATGTCAGTCATAAAAGAATTCTGAAAAAATAAAAATAAAAATTTAAAAAATTTAAAAAAACAAATTAGAAGTTGATTCAGAGAACACATAATAAGTGAAAAGAATTATCTTAAGATTTGTAAAAAAAATTTCTCATAAATACAGAGTAAAATTTGGGTAACATTTTGATGCTAAGAGGTAAAAATACACTGGTATACTTATGTCCTAGTCACCTTATGATAATAAAGGAAGATGAAGCCAATTTTACCCCTGCTTAAATCCATTTCAACATTAAATGTGCCAAAATGAAAACCAAAGTCTGATTAACCTGTGTTATAAAAATGACCCTCTCATATTCATCTCCAATACCAGTAGTATCTTTTTTAAAAAAAATTCTTCAGAGAAGGAAATAGGTTCTGTGACAATATAAGTAATATCTAAATTATTTTTCTTAAGACAGAGTAACACTGCACCCAGGCTGGAGTGCAATAGTGCAATCTCAGCTCACTGCAATCTCCATCTCCCAGGTTCAAGCGATTATCCTACCTCAGCCTCCCAAGTGGCTGGGACTATAGGCACGCACCACCACGCCCCAGCTAATTTTTTAGGAGAGATGGGGTTTCACCATGTTGGCCAGGCTGGTCTTGAACTCCTGAACTGAGGTGATCCAACTGCCTCAGCCTTTGAAAGCTCTGGGATTATAGGTGTGAGTCACTGTGCCAGGCCTAAATTCTTAAAATGATTCATTTGAGGCAGAAGTTCATATAGGGAAAAATGTGCTTGCTTGTGAAAAAAAATCCACACTAGAACAAGAGGCTATACCTCTTTATTAGAATGACAGTGAAGAACAAATTAAATGCCTGTAAGTATGAATCTCTTAAAACCTGTATATTCTGCAGTGTTTGCTAAAGCCCTCACAAATGAAAGATCAGTATCTAATGGCCTAACTGAATATATGTTTGTTCTTAGGATATCATATCTGGCTGCCTGGATTTAACTTATCGTAGATTTTTATATCGATTCAACCGAGTATTGATTTAAGCAAGGACATGTTCTTAATATTTAAGTCAAAGCATGACTTAGCACATAAAAGCAGTGCAAGTTAGAAAAGAACTGAAATTATCTCACTTATCTAATTTACATTCCAGGGCAACTAAGTCTATCTTTTATGAGTTACTCCAAAACAGAACTGAAGGCTACAGGCAATTCGGATTCCTTGGATCCTCTTAAAAACCCTTTCTACTCTGTGCCCTACCAAAAATAACTTTTAGATCTTTTTGGAGACTCAAGGCTTTTATTCCTTTGTCCTGTAAAATCCTGTTCGCCACTTCGTACTGGATGCAGGTTTATTCCTTCCCAAATACTAGTCGGTGTGATCAGCCCACACCAAACCCTCATTCAGGAGCATAACAATAAAAACCAACTATTACACAAGTGTTTGATTTTTTGAGCATGGAACAGTATCAAAAAGATCAGAAAACATAATTCTAAAAAATATCATAAAAAGGAACTAAGTTAAAGTCTGGAATCTTTAGTAACAAGATATAAAACAAAGGCGAGGGTGGCAAAAGAAAAAAAAGAAAAAAAACCTGGATCTTTAAATGATTCTACAAAGCTAAGTCTCTTTTTTTTTTTTTTTTTTTTTTTTTGTTGAGGCGGAGTTTCACTCTTGTTACCCAGGCTGGAGTGCAATGGCGCGATCTCAGCTCACCGCAACCTCCGCCTCCTGGGTTCAGGCAATTCTCCTGCCTCAGCCTCCTGAGTAGCTGGGATTACAGGCACACGCCACCACGCCCAGCTAATTTTTTTTTTTGTATTTTTAGTAGAGACGGGGTTTCACTATGTTGACTAGGATGGTCTCGATCTCTTGACCTCGTGATCCACCCGCCTCGGCCTCCCAAAGTGCTGGGATTACAGGCTTGAGCCACCGCGCCCGGCCGCTAAGTCTCTTAAAAACATAAAACTCCCTTGGGTAATTCAGACCAAATTCTTAAGATAACAAAAATTAACTTTTAACTAAGTTCAAATATGATTAAGCCAAGTCAGAATTGAAACTGAGATGCTGATTAGGAAACACAGACACACACATGCGCGCGCGCGCGCGCACACACACACACACACACACACACACACACACACCAAACTATGGTACCTGCCAGTTCTCACTGGCGCTCCAACTGGACCTCAGATTGCCATTTAAAAACCGTGTAAGGCTGGGCATGGTGGCTCACACCTGTAATCCCAGCACTGTGGGACCCTGAAGCAGGCGGATCTTTAGGAGTTTGAGACCAGCCTGGCCAACATGGTGAAACCCCGTCTCTCCTAAAAAATTAGCTGGGGCATGATAGCACGTGCCTGTACTCCTAGCTAACTCAGGAGGCTGAGGCAGGAGAATCGCCTGAACCCAGGAGGCGGATGTTGCAGTGAGCCGAGATCGCACCACTGCAGTCCATCCTGGGCAACCAGAGTGGAACTCCATCTCAAAAAAAAAAAAGTAAATCCAAAAATATTGACAAAGAATGGAAGAAATCCAAGACAAATCATGATTATATTATTTTGAATTATAGAAAAGCACGCAGGGAATCCACGTTTTCTTTTAATAGCTTTCCTATGTGTTTGTATGAACAGTTGCCTTGCTCCTCTACTTACAGAATTGTTTACTAGTTTACTTGCTCCTCTACTGATAAATTTTTTTTTTTACCTATTACTTTTATGAAAAGAGAAAAAAAATTGTCCAAGTAGATTTCTTTTATTAAAATGTTGGGCTGTTTACATTTCCTGACGTATCTTTTTGAAGATGATTGCTTGAGGGCTTTAAATATATAATATTTTATATATTGTTTACTTTTTTAAAAAGGTAAGTGTTTACAAAATAATCCAACCATTTCTAGGTCACTCCAGAATTTGTGGGGTGGGGTGGGGGGGAAATAATACACCCATAATAACTTTTAAGCATCCACAAATTATTTTTTAAATATATATTACAAGATAACAGTTTAATGGCTCACAGCGACATAGAATGTATCTTACACAGTTGCATCAAAAATAATAATGCTGTATAAATGCAAAATTTTTAAAAAAGATATTTCTACTAAGCTTTAAGGCACAAATTAAACGTATAACATCCTCACTTAAAACACAGTTCTTTATTCAAAAACGTATCAATCCAACAATTTTGTGCCACTTTAGTCATTTCTTATGTATTTCCTTAATGTTGCAATATTTGGCAATGAAATTTCTCCACAAAATGAAAACTACAACTGATTTTCAACTGGCCAAGATAAGACTAATCTGTATAGCCCAGCAATGTTCTGCCTCCCCTCCACGTCCATAAACAAGCAACCGTCTTCAAAGATGCACTGGAATTATTACTTGTTCTCCTTAACCAGACTTGCAATTTGACCGAAGTGTTAATATAGCAGCAAAACTACCTCAGAAATCTTTGCCAGCCAGACACAGTCACTCACACCTGTAATCCTAGCACTTTAGGAGAGGCTGAGTCGGGAGGATTGCTCGAGCCCAAGAGTTTGAAACCACCCTGGTCAACATAGTGAGATCCATCTTTAAAAAAGAAAAATTGAATGAGCTGGGAAGCTGTGAGTGGTAGCTCACACCTGTAATCCCAGCACGTTGGAAGGCCGAGGCAGGTGGATTGCCTGAGCTCTGGAGTTTGTGTCCAACTGGGCAACATGGCAAAACTCTGTCTCTACAAAAATACAAAAATTAGCCAGGTGTGATTTTTTGTAGAGATGAGGTCTTGCCATGTTGCCCAAGCCACATAATTTTACATAATAATAATTTTAAATTGAATACTTACTGCATTCTAAGCATAGTACTAGGTGATTCTACACATTTTTGGAATTCAATCCTCACAATAACCTTCCATTTTTCAGATAAGACATTTAATGAGGCCGGGCGCAGTGGCTTACACCTGTAATCCCAGCACTTTGGGAGGCCGAGGCGGGTGGATCATGAGGTCAAGAGATCGAGACCATCCTGGTCAACATGGTGAAACCCTGTCTCTACTAAAAATACAAAAAATTAGCTGGACATGGTGGCACGTGCCTATAATCCCAGCTACTCAGGAAGCTGAGGCAGGAGAATTGCCTGAACCCAGGAGGCGGAGGTTGCGGTGAGCCGAGATCGCGCCATTGCACTCCAGCCTGGGTAACAAGAGCGAAACTCCGTCTCAAAAAAAAAAGACATTTAATGTTCAGAAATGTCCCCACAATCACAGAAATAGAATAGTTATTTTAAAATCTAAGTCTTGCAGAGAAATTAAAACCCTCATATATTGCT